GAAACAAAATTTAAATTCAGTCAACATGACTCGATACTGCTTACCATTCACCGTAACTCTCCGGCTCCTTTCTCATTTCAATAGAACTAAGGACCGATGATGCCTCCAGCGTTTAAACCGCACAGCTTTCAAACCATAGTTATCGATATCGATAGTTCTCATGCAGCTAGAAAACACTTTATACAATACCAGACCTAAGAACACATAAAATAAACACTACTCTCGATGGCAACTTTGGAAAAACTTAAAATTAAACATTCAGAATTAAGTGTATAATTCACAATAGTACAGTAATGTAACGATATTTCAAATAACTCCTTGTTTGTCTTGTATTTCGGCATAAATCGAAACTGGAACCCCAACACAATTTTTTTTCTCGGACTAACGAGAAGGAAAATTGTACATTTTGCTCATCTCCTGTCGTAGAAATGGGTAGCATATATGATACATATTTAGGAAACACCCTGTATATAACATTTAAATGATTAAAAAAAAATACAACGGACAACGCTGGTTGGAATTTATTGATAGTTAAATTTTATTTATGTACAGATTTAATAAAATTAAATAACAAAGACTTTTTATTTATTAATTTTTAATATGATTAAAATTAATTAAACAAATATCTTCAATTTTTTACTTTTAATTGAAATAGCAATGACTTCTTTTAAATAAAAATTAAAAATCCTTTCTTCATTGCAGCTAATCTCATTGGAATCGATACGATTCACCATCAGACACTCTCTGGACAGGAGATGGATCAAATGAATGAGCATCAACTTGACAAAGTGGCCAACAATGTCAGTGTTTTCTATCGAGTTACGCCACGCCACAAACTTGACATTGTAAAATCCCTACAACGCACCGGAAATATTGTGGGCATGACAGGTGATGGCGTAAACGATGGAGTAGCGTTAAAAAAAGCAGACATAGGAATAGCAATGGGTAAAAATGGTACTGACGTTTGCAAAGAAGCAGCAGATATGATTTTGGTCAACGACGATTTTCACACAATCATGTAAGTTCAGTTCCAATTGTCAATCAATTTTAATTAAATTTCTTTAACCATTTTCATATGTTTACAGTGCGGCTATAGAGGAGGGCAAGGCTATATTCTACAATATACGCAATTTTGTGCGCTTTCAACTTAGTACTTCAATTGCGGCACTCTCACTAATTGCACTTGCCACACTTATGGGCATTGCAAATCCTTTAAATGCTATGCAAATTCTATGGATTAATATTATAATGGACGGACCGCCAGCACAGTCGCTTGGTGTTGAACCTGTGGATCATGATGTATTGAAACAAAAACCGCGCAACGTTAAACAGCCAATGATAACAAAATCGGTTATAGTTAATGTTTTGCTCAGTGCTAGCATTATAATACTTGGCACACTATGGGTGTTCCAACGAGAAATGGCTGATGGCACACTTGGCAAAACCAAACGTGATACTACCATGACATTCACCTGCTTCGTTTTCTTTGATATGTTTAATGCTCTGTCATGCCGTTCCCAGACAAAGAGCGTTTTTAAAATTGGTCTCACCTCGAATAAAATGTTCCTCATGGCGGTTGGGTTTTCAATTATTGGACAAATGCTTGTGATTTATTTTCCACCTCTTCAAATGGTATTCCAGACGGAAGCACTCTCTGTATACGATATACTCTTCTTGCTCTCGCTAACTTCCTCGGTACTCATTGTTGCAGAAATTAAGAAATGGTTTGAACGCACCATGGAGCGTAAATTATACAAAACAAGATCTGAGTTGGATTTCGTATGACAAATCGCAAGCGCTGGAAGAAAGTTGAATAAAAAATCCGATTAAGCTTATTAAAATAGCAACTATTAAGGAGCTGAAGCGAGAGCAGACAGTACAGAAAAAAGAGTGAGAAACGTATTATTGAGAGTTATTTTTACTTTTTTTTAAATACGCATTAAAATCGTTAAGTTAGCTAGAGAAAATGATATTATATAAGTAACGAGCTGGGAAGGAACGATTGTGAACGAGCAGGGGGAAAATAAGAATTATATTTTATATGTCTTCACCCTTTTTGAGAATAAATGTGAGCAGTGTTTGAATATAATTTTATATATATATATAATTCGTTTTTAGTTTTAATTACATTTGTACGTTGTCAGTTTATATATTTTTAAGTAGCAAATTCTTTTTTTTTTTTTTGATTTTGTTTTTTCATTTGTATTATATGTCTAAGTTAATTAATTTGTAATTTGCTTTCAAGTTGTATGTCACAGCAAACAATGCTAAAGAATGTCTCGCAGTCACAAATATAAATATTAATTTTAATTTTTTGATTTTTTTCCTAGTAGTTTTTTAAAATATGACACACCACAAATAAATATTATTTATAAATAAAATAGAATCAAGCAGTAGTAGAAATTAAGTTAGATAAATTCATTTAATCAATGACGTATTTGTAATTTATTTATTATATACAAAGAATATCTTGTTTATTTTATATCGAAATTTTAATGATATTTTTTTATATATGTTTAACATTGTTTATCTACTGCTTAAAGTGTGAAATAATTATTTAATTTAACCATTTTAAAATCGAATTTTTTTTTACGATTAATAACATTTCATTTTACTGAGTAGCAAACATCTGTCAAATTTAAAATCTTAAATGTGATATAAGCTTAAGTTGTTATTAAAGAAATATTTTGATTTTATTAGTTATATCTATATTAAATTAATTAAATAAAATATTATTTAAACATAACAAAATACATATTTGCATTTTACTTTTAATGTTTTAATTTATTTTTTATTTTTATTTTTTAACTATTTAATTTATTTTTTATTTTTTTTTTTAACTATTTAATTTTTTAAATTATTATTTATATGTTGTTTTATATATATGTGTATATAATTTAAATTTTAGCTCACTTGAAATTAACGTGACCTAATTTAGTAAATTAGTGGTTTATGGCAATATTGGCAAGGAGTAGAATGCAGTGTAAAAAAAGAAAAATGCGATAAATATATATAAAAACAAATTAATAACTAAAAAAGTAAGAAACAAATAAAAAAGACGTTTTGTAAAACAGAAATTAGATGCAATGCCGAAGCGAACAGTATCCTGAATAATCAAAATTTTTGGAAAAATCAACAGAAAATTCTTCTAGCGCAAATTTGGACTTTGATATATTTTGTATTATTTTGTCAGAAATACCAAAAATAAAGTGCATGACAAAATTAATTAAAAACTAACGAAATTTTAAATTTTGTTATTTATATTATTTAAGTTAAGATATTAAAAGTTAATAATTTTGAAATCAATTAAATAGTTTGTTAAGAGCACTTTTTCTTGTCGAAGCACCAATAAGAAAAACAGAAGAAGCCTTGAAAGAAATTGTTTGAAGCTAAAATAATATAAAAAAATAAGATAATAAATTTAAGCAATAAGAATTATTAATTGATTGTAGAATGATTTATTGTATATCAAGAACTAGAGACATTGTGAACATTAAAATGAAAAATAGTTTGTAGCAGTACATGATGTTAATGTTACTTAATATTAAACAAATACTTATAGTTTTTTTCAAATTAAAGCAAATTGGAATTATTTACAAAATTTTTCAGAAAATAAAAACAATTTTAATAATCTGAATATTAATATTAAACTTTTTATTCTTGTAGCAAATTTTGTTTTCATTTTTTTAAATTATAAAAAAATAAATAAAAAAAAACAGTTTTAAGTTAAACGCAGAGATAAAACAACTTAAAAACACTTAATTATTTAATTCATACTAAAATAAATCTTTGTAAACCAGTACTATTGTAGTAAAGTTTTTATATAGTACATAATATCACTTTATAATATAAATACACGTATATTATTAGTCATCAAAAGAAATTATGTATTGATACAGTGAAAGCTCTGTTAAACGGACTCTCATAAAAAGTTATTTCCTTTATCCTGTTTCTATACTAGCTAGACTTTTGCAGGACTTTTGCACACACTTAATTTTTCTCTAACACAGAAATTTTTATTTACTGACAAAATTTTTAAAAAATATATTTAATACAAATTCAAACGTGAGTAAATCCTGATTTACTGTCGGAAAAGAAAATATGCTCTTCACACAGCAAAGTTAAGTGATCTTAAGGAAAGAGTGTTAAGTGTATACTCACACTAGTTTTTGCTTTATTTTTGCTACTACAAACAGAAATATTTCATGAGAGACAACTTAAGCAATTTTTGCGATAAAATAATAATATTTGCAATAATTCAGATGTTTCAATATCTCAATAAAGACGGACTCTTTAGCGTTCTTGCATAAGATAGTTGTGTTTCAAAACAACAAGCACATGTACAACAGCAGCACCTAAAGAGAGTTAAGCAATTAATGAAGATTAACTAACGCAGTGTGAATAGCTTATAAGCACACAAACGGCTTATGCACGCTTTACAAGGACAAAATCCACAGGAACTCAAAAATATAACCTCTTATAGGCTATTCACACAGTACAAGTAATTTTTTTAATTAGAATGCTGTGGTATCACAACGACCCAATAGGTCTAAGTGTTAGTTTTAACTATTTTGGATTAAATCAAATATGATATTGACGTTTTTGGCTATACAGATAGTGAATCATATAATAGTTATAGTTTCCACTCTCTTAACTACACAAAATTTCTGGAAACTAGGAAGAGGAACGCTGAAGAGAGTTTTCACTGTATTGTTAAACGATCAATTTTCATTAGTAGGAAAACTTTATACGTAAAAATACATTAATGCTAGGTGTTATGGCGTTTTTACTACTGACTTGCTACAACTACACTCACCATTTTTGAAATGCATGTCAACCTAATGGGGCTTATCACAAATATCAACGTCTGCGTTGTTAAATCGTTTTAATCAATCAAGTACTCATCAATGACGTTGGTGAGAACATTTTCCCGTAACGCCTAATGCACGATGAAACTACAGTCTCCGCGAGAGTAGTTGACGATTCTTATTGTAGTCCAATTATATGGAATACAGTAGTCAGCGACTGTTGCTTAATTGTATGCAGTATTGTTGAAATACATTTCCTCAACTCAATTATCAGCAACTATAGTTTCATCGTGTGTTGAGTATAAGGTTGACATAAGGCTATTAAGTAGTTTCTGTCTCTTCTCCAATAATAATTTTTAATCACTTAATCACTAATAACAATTAAATAATATGGTTTTCAATATTGAAATATTTTTTAGGATCATTAGAAAGATAAGTGTTTTAACTATTCAAATCGTTTGGAAAATTAATTAACATTATAATAAACTAATTTAACATAAATGGCAAGAAAATCTAATTCTTTTATAATTATTAATAATGAATATTAGAAACTTGTCATTAATAAGTACAAGACAAGCAATTAAGAATGATTGGGTAATCCTGCCATCAAGCAAAACTCATACAAAAAATATTTTATTGTTCTTAAAAATATATTTAATTAATACTTTTAAATCATCATCACTCAATATATCATCAATGCAATCAACATAAAACACAACATTTTGAAACCTCATTATTATCATATCTCTTAGACAAGAATGAAATATAACATTTGGAAAAATATTAAATGTTAAACATTGATAGAAAACATATCATTAATTTTGATTTAAAATTTTATTATGAAAAACAAAAATAAATAAATTTGAAACTGCACTTACTACCTAAACGCAAATTGTATTAAGGATTCTTCACAAGGCATTATATTAAAATTTAAAAAAAAATTCAAACAATTTTCAAATCGCTTTTACTAAGAAATTATTAAAATCACAAAAATTGCATTTTTCGTAAAATTAACAACATTATGACATTTTGTATCTTGTATCTTGCAATCTAAGCCACTTTGCACTGAATTTAAACTGAAAGTACGATTGAACGAAAACTTGGAATGAGTAAAAATTGCTCAAGTTTTAATATTTAAATTTAAGTGAATTAATTTATATTTAGAATAACTATTAAGTTCACTATCCAATAACTTTCACTTTCCAATAAAATTAAACTCAAAAAAAAAAAAGATACTCAAAACAATTTATTTAGATATTTAGTAGAATTTTAATTTAAATTAATTATTAGAATTATATTTTTATTAAGTTTAAATTAACATTTTTTTTACATATACAGTAATCCCCGCTATAACGCGGTAGCTTGGTTCCGCGTTATAGAAGTATTCCGTACACCCCTTATAAACACGTGCATGGGTATGTGAAGCTAATTATGAACTGTACAAATCCCCGCGTTATATGGGGAAATTCCCGTGGTATACGGAGGATTATAATCACTTAATATGAAAACGCGTTGTAAGAGTACCGCGTTATAGGGGGAGATTACCGTACTTCATATATATACTTTATATATACTGCTCTAATCCTATCAAATTTAATTTGTTTTATATATATTATAACTAATATCATTTTTTTTAATTTTAACTCTGTATATATGTAACATTGTAAATTATGAGATTAAAAGTATTTTTGTTTTTTGTTGTAAATCCACTCATCCTAAATAACTTGTATGTGTTTAATTTTATTGGAAGTTATTAATTATGAAAATAAATTAAATACAAAATTATTAATTCCTAAAGGACCAAAATATTAAAGTTTATATGTCAACTCACGAAATTTTAAACCATCAGCTCTCGTATATCATAAAAAATATCACACCAATTAGGCATTAAAACTATACTTATCTGTAAAAGATTTTTAAGCCTAAATTAATTATTAATATGTATTAATAAATATAAATAATTATTAATATAAATAATTAATTATTTATTATTAATCAATCGTAAAACTAAACGTCACATACCCACACGCATACAAATACATCTCATCCACGTTGGTAACAATAATTAGTTATATAAGATTTATAAATATAAATACAAATAATTACATTTAATTACAATTATTTATATACAAAATAAAAAATTAATTTTGAAAAACACAAAAAAACAGCAAAGTATGTTTGAGTTAGACATAAATAAGTTTCGATGTTTATTACTCGTAATAATGAAATCGTTTAAGTCAATCACTACACAGAAATAAATACATATATATAAAAATCGCTTTACAAAACTATAAGCATGCATACATACTTATTTACATATATAGTATATACATAAAATATATTTATATAATTTACATCATAAATATATTATTGCATAAATGTTTTGGTGTATTTTAGAAAAAAGCAAGCAAACAATTTCATTAAAAATTATTAAATATATTTGAGTTTCAAGCACTTTGCAATTAAAGGTTTTATTTGGTAATTACGATTTTTAAGATAAATTATTGAATTTTTTTCATGAATAATTAATTTTAAATTGCAAATTTGCTCTATCTGTGCTATTAAATATAAGCTTTATTCTGTGTAATTTTATGAAATAGTTTTTATTTTTTTTTCTGTCAGAACTTAATTACCTTCATTAAGATGAACTCACTTGTTCCGATTGTGTACAACTTTGACTCTATACTATAAACTATAAAAATTGTTCTAAACTAAATCTACTAAGTAAATTATTGAAAGTGTAATAATATTAAAAATAATATTTAATACAATATAACTTAATAAAAGTCTTTATGTAGAAATAATCAAAAATGTACTTATTTCTTTACTGTACCTATATATATAATAATATAATGAATTAGGGTTAAGGTAGGAAATTTAAATACATTAAGTATAATACTTTTTTCCAAAATCCTGTTCATTTATAATATATATTTCTTATATAAAAGCCCAGCGCATTGTGGCATTAACTATAGACGCAAAAGTAGTAGTTATCTTAGGATACTTAGGTTTTGAGACATCACGAAAAAAATACAAAGCAATCATTCATTATGTTAAAGCTGTTTTGAGCTAGTGCACTTTTACTCTTTTTTAACTCGAAGTATTTTCAAAACCCCTCTTAACACCTTGACTAGCTTATTGTTTATCATTTCATCAGACTAAGCAATAATTGACCTCAGATCTGCATACGTCCCCGAGGAGCTTGTAACCGTTTTGAGATTTGATGTCTGTCAGTTTTCGCAAATAATTTCAGGGCTCTATCCTTTATGTATATTTTGATGGGATCAATCTGGATGTCCCTAAGGATGTCATTCGTCCTAATGTACCATGGAACTTTGAAAAGTCTTCTCATAGCCTGGCTTTGTGCAATTTCTAGCTGGTGAATAGTAGTGTTTGAAGCTTTGCTAA